TCGTCTGAGTCAGTCTTCCCCAGACTTGTCATTGATGTTTGCTGTCGTGCTTCCCTGGTCCTGTTACCCTAATAAATCCCCGTTTAACCTGACTTCCTGGCTTCGTTTCCCTGCTTCCCGGATCGCCTTCTTGCCGATCGTGACAATAATGGTACCTAACTCGATTTCGCACAGTGTGAAACAAGCAGTGAGATCACCGACTACTTCTGTACCTACACGTTGTGTAGCTGGTGTCGCGCATGCGTACGCGGATCGGACAGCCACAGCCAGGCAGTCAGTATACAGATCAAATAGTGACGTACACGGAAAACCAGTGTGCGCATGCGTTCGCAGATAAGGCCAGGACCGCAGATCGGGCAGGCACACGCGCCATATGGAATACACTTAACTACATAGATCAGCCATTGATATACTTCCTATTTTTCTGTCAAATGTTGTGGCAGCCAGATTCATAATGTTTACTATAATGGTATAGCTCCTTGCCTCTCAAAGTGTGGGGCGGGCACCACTAGTGGGGAAGAGACCAGACAGGTGGGGCGCAACAAACATGAGGAGAGTTGGCTTAGTTAGAAATGAATCTGTGATATCCTCTAGAAATGAACTAAATCAGAATCAGGGTCGATCTCTATATCACTGCGGGGGGAGGAAGCACCCCCTCCTCCCGATTGTGTCTCATCTCATCAACCTCCCTGAAATCAATTTGGTTAGGTGTGACGCCTGAGAATATTACTTTTATTTACATGTGAAATCATACTATATTCAATTGGATTCATATAAATTAACATTAGCCAGTACAATTCCATTTTTATATTATTGTGTGTTGAAGATGGAAGAAAAAACCCAGCCTGTTTCACCGAGCAAATGCAAAATCACACACGCACAGAGCAAGGGTGGGTTTTTAATACAATTCTGTATACTCAAATGTTGTGCATTGTATTATTTCATTGTTGTCTTTTATTATATTGGTATGCTTTCACAGAGGTGACGGAAGAGAATGTTTTCCAACTAGAATTTCAACGCGTCCTTAGCGCGCTACCCGCCAACTCTATAAAAACGACCAGAGTGGCAGAGTCAGTGGATGATGTGACGACGTTAAATATTATTGGACACAGCGCTTGTAGTCGGGTGAGCGGGAGGCTGGCGGAAGCGTGTCACTTATACTGCACCCAGTGTAAACCTATCAAAACTCTCCGTCGTTATGTTAGCCAATCATGATCTACGGTGGGCGGGTAAAGGGAGCGGAACTGTCTCTACAAGATCTGGCCGGCATTAGACGGTTCAAAAATACTAATATTAAAAAACAACAGTAGTAGTTGTTTTGCTTTTAAAATTAAGCTAGGGGCAAATTATTATAAAAAAGGGCAACTACCGTGTTACACATAACCATAAAATATCTATCGTTACTCTGATTTCTTTGATGCATATTGTTACTGACTAACGCTCAATCAATCCAGCAAGATACAATACTTCGAGTCAGGTATGATGTATTACAGAACTTATATTTAACTAACATGTGTTTTAGTGTCTAACTGGCTAATGCACACAAAAAATTTTTTTCGGTTTGTACCCTTATAACACGCCTGCACGTGTTTCATTTTATGTGTTAATGTGTATTTGTGTTAATCCTTGAAAAGCAGTAATGGTATATCCACAGTACTAGGATGACTTGTCATTTGACGCCTTGACGTAATTGAATAACTTGACATAATTATAAGCAATAAGTAAAGGTTGATAGGTTATTGAGCAATAATGATCAGAATATTGTCAACTTAGTAGATGCCTGTCTTACATCGAGTGTAGTCATTGGTTAGAATTTAAAAAGTTGAACGAAGGCAACCAGGCTCAGGAGGTTTCAGTTTCACCTTGTATTCTAGTGGCCCGTATTAAGAAAAGCGGGGTTACTGGCTTATCGAGGTAACTTGTTGGATTTAAGGTACCACAGTTTAAATGGACTTCATATTCGTTCACTTATATTTTGCCCAGACTACCTTAAATCCGACAAGTTACCCCAATAAGCCAGTAACTCTGCTTCGTAGTACAGGCCACAGGTATAAAGATTTAGTAGGGGGTTCCTCTGGCAATAGATACAGCAGCTTTGTTTAAGGGGACATCCAAGTTTTTTTTTCTTCCCCATTTGTAAGTTTTGGTGCTTTCCTTGTTCATGAGGAGCTGTCTTTTTCAGGCAGGGCTGATTGCCATGCCGGTGAAGCTCCAAGGCATGTATGGCCATGCTGGCACCCCCTGCTCCTCCAGCCGCTCCAGTGGCAGTGACAGCAGCATCAAGGAGCTGCTTGGGGCCCTGTGCAACACCTGTCTGTCTGGGGTGTCATGGAAGCGGAGGGCACTGGGTGCAGTCTCGCGAGAGCGAGCATGCAGAGTTTTGCAAAACCGTGCTTATCTCACCCTCCTGGCTAAGATCTTCCAGCGGGGAACTGCAGAAAGCTCCCCCAAACCCAGCCTTGTCACCACTATACCTCCCAGAAACAAGGTGCTCATGATCTCCTTCAACCTGCGGCTGTCTGGCTGTGCAGATAAGGCTGACAGGCTGGAGCAGCTGCTGGGGGAGCTGCCGAAGGGGCCAACCTCTGGTGTTGGGGAGCTGGATTCTGTGCTTGAGCTTCTCGTCCAGCTGGCCGGCTCAGTACCCCCGCCTCCCCCCTCTTTCAGCTGGGACTATATGAACAGGGAGTTGCCAGTGCAGAGACACCCCCAGCTCACGGGCTACCAGAGCCAAGAGCTGTGGAGGCAGGAAGCCAGGGTTTGGTCCCTCATTTGCAGGGAAGAGTGGTGGGCACTGGGGGCTTGTAAGGGGACTCTGGGGGTGATAGATGCTCCACCAGGGACAGGACTGTTGACACTGGGGTGGAGGGATGAGTTGGAAGAGCGTTTTGAGAGAGAAACACGTCTGTCGCTGTTTGGAGCCCTTCAGCACACTCGCACCTCAGACCTGGACATAAGACTGGACTTGCCCCCGGTTCCCAGCAACATCGAGATCACTGGCCTGGCGATACGGGTAAGAGTGGAACAATCACACATATGCTTCTGTTATTTATCCTTCATTGGTAGGGAATTGTGGAAGCAGACAATTTTAAGCTACAGTATGTGTAGGCTAATAGGAATGCATGCACTTTACTATGTGTACCTACAAATTTAGGGGAGACAGTGGGAACAAGTGTGTGCAAGGAGGGGGATGTGTGTGTGTATGTGAGTTGTGATGGTTGACAAAGTTTGACAAGTTCCTGCTTCTAACATTTAAATATCAACCCCCTTGCCCCCTGTCATCTGCACCCCTGAGCCCATCATCAGCTTCCATGAAATCAGTTTACCTATGGTGAGATGTCTGAGGACATTAGTTTTAATTGCATCTCAGATCTAAAAAGACGATTTAATAAAAATTAACATTTGCCAGTATAATTTTTTTTCTTACTATTACTGTGGGTTGAAAGAAATATGGAGGAATATAACTTGATTCGTTTATGGCTTTTCAGGTTTGTAGCCTTGATATTTACAAGATCCAAGCTATCATAATTCTGAATATGATTCAAGTTGGCATGCTAACCATCGGTGTTTCATCTAGAAAATATAAATACACATCCACAAAGGAGGGGTGAGATTTTCAATGCAACTCTGTATACTCATGTTATATATAATACATCTACTAAAAGTACCTATTTAAATATTCACAGTGGAGTCGATTCTCCCAGCCTAAGAACATAAGAAATTTACAAGCGAGAGGAGGCCATTCAACCCATAAAGCTTGTTTGGGGAGAACTCGACAAATAGCTTGCATTGTTAAAAATTATCTAGCTCTGATTTAAAGGAACCCAAGGTTTTAGCTTGCACTACACTATCAGGAAGACTATTCCATACTCTGACTACACGCTGCATGCAAGAAGTGCTTTCTCAAACCAAGTTTAAAATGTTCTCCCTCTATTTTCCACCTATGGCCATGAGTTCTTGTATTTGAACTAATATTGAAGTAACTATTTGGTTGAACAGCATCCAGACCTGTTAGAATTTTCTATACCTGGATCATGTCCCCCTTAATCTCATTTGCTTGAGGCTGAACAGATTCAGCTCGATGGGCCAAATGGCCTCCTCTCGTTTGTAAATTTCTTATGTTCTTATGCTTCTAATCAGAAGCTGATAGGGATATCAGAAATAGTAATGCTAAAGGTTGGCAAATAATATCCCTATTAAAACTATAGGTAAGATGCCATCAGGGCCCTGTGATTTTTTTTATTTTGAGTTTAGCTAGGCTTTGTAGCACATCAGCTTCAGTTATACATACATTAGTCATAGACAATGCTGGATTAGTAATAAAAGTCGGTATGTTACTCGTGTCCTCTACAGTGAAAACCCGTGCAAAACAATCATTAAACTACATCAACTTCATTTTCAATTATAAGACACTACTATCCTGAAGATTTATAATTTCAGCTTTTAGAGCTCTTTTGAAGTTAAAATATTGGAAGAAACTTTTAATATCATCCATAGCATCCAACGCAATCTTCCTTTCAACATTCCTCTTAGCGAGTGTAATATTATTTTTTAACTCAACCTGTAGATTTAGATACTTCTGCTTTATTCACATCAAAGAGAAAGGGGTTATGCCCTCAATGATTTTGCCAACAAGCATTGAAATATGCAGAAACACTTTTATTTTGAAAATAAAAGCATGGGCGGTAGCCTACTATGCTTATATGTGGGGATCCTCACGGACAAGGGAATCCTTCAACAAAAAATGAAATGTTATGGTTAAATAATGTGTTTGAAATTTCTGGAACTGACAGTACCTTAACTTCAGACCTCCTTGTATTTTGTATCAGTCCCCCTGAAAAATGTTTTTTATAAAACCATTTAGCGGGTTTTCTACTCATCTCCGACTGTGTTGTACATTTGTACCTCAAGGGTGGCGTGGTGGTGCCGTAATTAGCCCTGTCATCTCCCACCTCTGGGACCTGGGTTCAAGTCTCTGCCAGGGTTCCATGTGTGTGGAGTTTGCATGTTCTCCCCGTGTTGTCATGGGGTTTCCTCCAGGTACTCTGGTATCCCCCCACAGTCCCAGGCTAATTTGAGTTTCCAATTTGTCTGTAGGTGTGCATGCCTAAGTGAATGGTGAGTGAGAGTGCCCAGCGATGGGTTGGAGCCCCTTCCTGGGCTGTTCCCTGCCTTGTGCCCTTAGCCTCCAGGATAGGCTTCAGACTCCCTGTGACCCTGAATAGAATAAGTAATTTCATAAAATGGATAAGTGGATGGGTTTCGTACCCCCCGCTCAGTAGATTTAGTCGTGGAGGACCCAGGGGGTGGCATTCCATAATTCTTCAGGTGGCTGAGCCCCCTAAGGAGCAAATTCTATAATCAATCCTGTTGGGTATATCGTGCAGCTATTTTGCCCACGTAGAAAAAAAAAAAAAATAAAATAATTACTAGGGGTGCAACAATACATCGATTTGTATCAATATATCGATTCAACAGCAAACGATCCAATGCATAGATGTAACCGCATAAATATCGATACATGCATTTTTATTTTCTTGCCTGTTCCAGTATTGTTTTCATGATCCTCTCCGACGTATACATGGTCTACGCCCAATCGATCGCGATCTACTAGTCGATTGCAAAGGTAGTGTGTGTAGATCGTATGGCATAAAAAATAGAAGATGGATGACGCGTTCAACCGCGCCAGCTGCTACAAGCTACCGAGTCCCCTAGTTAGCCTCCAATTTATTTCTACTAAACTTAAGAAAGGGTATAAGAATGAATGGGGGAGCTGGACCAAGTCAGAAGCTAAAAACCAGTCACTTCCATACGGAATGGGAGGAGGACTGTTTTTTTATTTCCACCATGTCATATTCGAAGTGCGTTTGCCTCATCTGTCAGTCTACCGTTGCTATTCCGAAGAAGGGAAATGTGGAGCGGCATTTTTGGACTGTTCATAAAAACTGCAACATTAACTTCACTCCGAAAAGCGAGCTGAGAAAGAGAAAGGTGAAGGAACTAAAATCCCAGTTCAATTCAAAAATACTTTATTCATCCCAAAGGGAAATTAATAATAATAATTAATATTAAGGAATTGCACGCAAAGTTAATGAGGGGCGTAGCACACGAGATGGTCATAGGAGCAGGTCATGATGGTTATGGACATACTTTTATACTTTTTGTTACACTTTTGTATTTATCTGGAGAAGACTTGATTCAAAATAAAATTAGTCACCATGTTAATCTACATCCATCCAAAGTTTTTTTTTTTTTTGCCTTATTGCACTTCATTTTGCTTGATTTATGGGACATACTTGACTACACTAGATTCTGTTTACAGTTTACAATAAAATATGATAAAATGCTAAGTATATTTGCCTTTTTTAATTCATTGAAATGTAAATGATTGTGTGAAATTTCATCATTTCGACTACTATGCCCAGTATCGAAATGAATCGTATCGTATCGTGGGAATTTCTGAGGTATCAAAAAAAAAAATTGAAAAAAATTGAACTGTTGGCTTAAGGAATCAATATTGTATCGTATCGCGATGAAAGCTGTGATTTACACCCCTAATAATTACACTGCTGATTAAATGCATTGGTTTGAAAGGCAGTTGTTCACTATTAATAAAAATTCTCCAGTAACATGAGAAACCTCATAGAACACCTTTGTATCCTAGGCTGTTCTTATTAATTACCCTATGCATATATGCTTCTTTGTGTGATATCTTACTATGGTGTGTGGAGTCTGCATGTTCTGTCCCTATTGAATGGGTCTTCCCCCACAATACAAAGACATCCCATTAGGCTCATTGCATGTGTGATTGCCTGATGGAGAATAAACACTAAAAAACACATTTTTGGAAGAGTGAAGATCCTCTCCCCTTACCTTGAGCCATGCACAGATGTCCAGGTTCTCGTTGGTCCCCCTAGGTTCCCCCTTATTTGGATCAGTCTGAAGACGAGGGCTTCCAATCAGCTTCCAACTTGACACCAGACTCGCAGTCCGAGCCGAGCCCAGGTCCGGAGATCGATATCTGGGAGACTTTGCGAAACTACAAGTCTGGCCGACGACGCTGCTGGGAGACTATTGGCTGGTAAAGATCTGTGGCCAAACAACTGTCCTCCAAATTGCTGTCAACTTGAACTAACAAAACAAATTATTTTCCTTTCTTTTGGCTAACCACCGACTGTTAGTCCTCCTGGGAGAAAGGAAGTGCCGTACCTCACTGAGGCAGGCAGGGAGGCATTTGACCATCTATATAGGCTGTGGGAGGACCAGGTGAGAGCACTGAGCTCCATCATAACCATGGCTGTGCTACCCTTACCCCTCCTCAGCCAGACTCAGCTGGTGGCCGATCTGCTTAACATGCTCATCGGGGTAGCATCTGGCACCTTCCCTCTGAACCCGGTAATGTCCCTTTTTAATGATGCTTTCTCCAGTATATGGCAGTGTACTCTTTAAAAGCTGTTGTCCATAATCCATATCATGTGCTTGTGGCTCGCAGGTCAGCGTGCAGTTCGAGGTGCGCCCCGGCGTGTGCATTTCGGGCACGACACCTGAAAGCATAACACTTCTCCTGGGGGAGCTCGCTCAGTATGGCACCCACTACCTCAGGCTGTGCCACTTCTCCTTGCAGAGTGCCCACAAACGAGGCCTGGTCTTTCAGGTTACTCTCCTTCTGTTGCCTCTGTATACTTCTCCCGCTACTGTAATCATTGAGCTATGAAGATCAGGCTTTCCTTTCACCTTTCCTAGGCTTTTGCAGGCAGCCTGCGGCGGTACCTTCACTACTACAGAGCATGTGTGCTTTGCACCCCCCCCACTCTCAGCCTACTCACCATCGCCTTCCTCTTCCGGAAGCTGGGTAGGCAGCTCAGGTGAGCCCCCAGTGTTCATGCATGCCTCTGATTGGGTCCTGTAAGCATCGAACCTCAATATCTCACCCCCCTACTTCACAGGTACCTGTCTGAGCTTTGCTGTGTGGATGGGAGCATGGCCGCTGGCCAGAACATTTTCCCTGCGGTGAGTTGTGTCTATTTCCTTTGACTGCCTAAGACTTGTGCAAAGTACTATATATATGACCTGTTTTCTATCATTCATTATACTGAGAAAGTAGATATGTACATGTATATGTATGCGAAGGCCTAGTAAATCAGAGTATTAAATGTGCATAAAATGGTTTAATTTCAAGAATTTCCCCGTGGAATCAATACAATTAATCTAAACAGATCTGTTTATTTCATAATAAGTTAAGTTTGATGTTATTTGCTTAGCATTCCGTCTGTTATGATCATACATTAAATGTGATTGCTTAGCATGTTTTTAAAAGTACATAACTGAGCTTGGTGTTGGGGGTGGCATAGCAGCACTGTGGTTAGTTAGATTAGGCCGCTTTGAGTTGCATGTAAAATTTTATTGTTTGTGGGTGGGTTTTGTCAAATTTATGCATTGGAAACTCTTCACGCTGTCTGGTAGACTGTTAGGTCTCATCTATAATGCACTATAAATACCTTCATAATGCAGCACAACACATCCTTAATTGTTATACTGACAATAATGGTCAGTATAACAATTAAGGATGCTTTGTGCTGCATTATGAAGATATTTACAGTGCATTATAGGTAAGACTTTCATAGAGCATTCATAATGCATGAGAAATATGGCTATAATGTGTGATGCCTTTTTATGAATATTTATAGGTGTGTCTAATACTTTATGAATGTTGCAATGAATTATAAGAACTCTTATTAGGCTTTATGAATATGGGCTTCATAGAGAGTGTTACCAAAATATTTATATTATTATTTTATGATAGGCCTGTAAAGGTATGGAAAAACTCAAAAATGGGGCTGGAGTAACAAATAACAACAAATGCAGCATGTTATTTATTAGGAAGAAAATGCCTTGATATTTTCACAATATTTATTCACGAAAGTTGGTATATGTATGTTTGTTGAGCTCCATCAAAAAAGTTGAAATAGTACATGTCCACAGGAACAGGAACACCTCCTACATCTAAACACAATGAGGTGCTACAGCGTTGGTTTGTTGTTGGAGGCTAAAATGCAGATAAAAGGTTTTATTCGCATTTTTCATTTTACCAATCATAGCATATATAGGTGGAAAAATAATAGGGATAAACATTCCACATTAAACTCTATAACTGTCTATTATTTCTGTGTTTATTCAGTGGATCATAAACAATGAATTTCTATTTCAATTTCTTTCAGATGTTATAAAGTAATAAATAATAAAATATATAAAAATATAAAACCATGCATTGCTGTCTATCAGATAACTTCAGCAAGTTACTAAATCGATGCAAAATCAAAGATATTCATTTCCACCTGGCACTAACTATATATTCCTTCACAATACTAAGCCATAGAAAGGTCCCCAATGAAACCCCTGCATTCCTACATCATAGAGACTCTAATCTCAACATTTATAAGATTATATTTGTAATGCTTGCAAATTTTTGTATCAGATGAGATTAAAAATTGAGAAATTTCAATAGGCGCAAGCAGTTTTTCCTCATAAGAAGGATACCAAGACTGTATCAACATTTGCACATCAAATTATGATACGAGTAGCCCAGAATGTTTGAAAAACAAAATCATAAAGCATTTCTGGTCATGTACAGGTACATACAATGTAATAAGTCTGAAATCAAAGGGATAAGAAAACTCTCAAAAATGGATAGGGTTCTAAGGGTTAACACAGTACTGTGATTGGGTGTAAAACATTCTGCTTCAAAGTTCACATGTAACCAATAAGCTGCAGCTTATTTGATAATATGCTACATTTGTATAGAAACATTTATATTGAAGTTTTAAGAAAAAAAATCCATGGTTCAAATTATACTGTGACACAAAATGTAGGCCACACTGCCTCGCCCCAAGATGATGCCTATGCTCCACATTTTATAGTATTTGTTGTTATGTAGTCTGGTTCGGATCCTGACTTGGTTTAGCAATGCCTTGGTCTAGGTCTTGTCTCAGTCTCACCCTACTTGGTCTAGTTCTTGTCTTGGTTTCGCCCTGCCTTGGTTTTGGTCTTGTTTTGGTCTCAATACACTTGGTCTCTGTTTAAGCGGTCTTGAGTGCTTCACTAGTTATGTGTAAGACAAATTTTCAGTGTGCATATTTGTAGTGTTGTTTATTCGTGTTATTATGAATAAGACAATGCAAAAGTGACTCTGTGTTAGGGCTGCAACTAATGATTATTTTGATAATCGATTAATCTGTCGATTACTTTTTCGATTAATCGGGGGAGGGGGGCCAAAAACCAATTCGATTTCCAGCAATTTTTAATAACCCTGTCTGTCTTTGTACAAAGGTTGTTTCCAGCAACTCGCATAAAAAACAAATGTATGCTACATTAAGAGTATACATTTTTTTTTTAATTTTGTAGCAGCTGAATCAATGTAATGAAATGAAATACACACAATCTTGTTTTATGAAGTGCAACCAGCATGGTGCTTTAGATAATGTATTCAGTAAACAGCACAGACTACCGCTGCTGCTACTAAGAATATTATTAAATAATTGTCTAATGTTATTTAATGTTAATATACATATGTGACGGGGACAGAGCATGCAAGCGAGTGTGTCTGCATTTATTACAGACAAAGTACACATTTATTGCGGAGAAAAAGCCTTTTCCACATTTTACGCTAAAAATGCACCAGCTTGCACTCCCGTGAAACGCCATAGACTTTAGTGACTGAGCGACGCAAATAAGACGATTGGTGACGAAAAACCCGTGAACAGCAGGCGGCAAATTTAGTTTTAAAATGTGTCTGGTTGTTTCAGTATACTACGGTGATGAACTGTAAATAACATAAATAACATAAGGCTATTTAGTTTGTTTAATAAAAGGACAAGATATAAACCTGTTCTACAGGAAAGGTAGCCTTAAATGACTTATGTTGTGATCTAGCGCTATATAGAAAATAAAATTAATTAAGGTTCAGTGTCTTGCTCAAGGACACTTTGATGGGGTCAGGCGGACCCCTTTCTCTTTACCTCTACACACTGGTCTATTTTGTACCTTTGCACCTGTCCATCTCCACTCATCCACCTTCCTTCTTCCACACGCACCCACTCAGTTCTTTTCTCACACTCTGCGACCCAGGGTCCTAAATCCTTCCACTCTAGCGACCCCTTTTTCCCATATGATACATGGGGGACCGAACCTCCCACATACCACTGTTCCTGGCCAGCTGACAAACGGACAGATGCAGCAGACTTGTCTTCTGCCACATATAGGTAATCAAGCACAACAATCTCTCTCAGTTCTCCTGCATCCTCAAAATCCTTTATCCACTCAGCCCCTTCTCTTCCAAAGAACTGAGCAGTGCAATGCAATCTGTCAGGCTGTTTTTGTCCTTCAGCGATACAGTCTCTCAGGATTGTGTCATCCACTAGCCACCAAGCAGCAAAGTTATCTTTCTCTGATAAGCAAAACAGTCCCAAAGCCTCTGAGGTCACAATGAAACTGTCCTCCCCCAGTTCCACCTTCATCCCCAGCTTTCCCGTTAAGTCCCTCCCCAGCAGGTTGACAGGACAATAGGGGGAAACTAGGAACTGGTGCTGACACACAATGGCCCCTGGGCTCCGTTCCACTAATAAAGGTTCTGTTTCTTCTAGGAATCCGGGGATTCCCGAGGCACAGATTATTTTTACAGTTCTGCCAGTGGTGGGGACTCCCGACACCTCCGCCTCTCCGATTGTTGTTCTTGTAGCTCCCGTATCCACAAGATAAGGGATTTCCCTTCCCCCCACTCTCAATTTAAGCAATGGGTTATCTGCTAGGCGTTGGGTTAAGGCGATGAACTGACTGTAATTGCTCTGCAATGTGGGCAGATGCTCTGCATCTGTATGGGTAGAGAGACGTCTCTGCCTCCATGAGTCTCGGGCAGACGGAGCTCGTCAGCCATGGCAGGCTGTCCGTCTAGGAGAAGGGAAAACTCTGAATCTTCTGAATCCAAACACCCAGCAACCATGCCCCTGCCAGGGTTACCAGCCCCACTGCCTTGTGGGTATCTCCGGGGGGAGAGAAGGCTATGGGAGTAAACCCAGACAGAGAATCCGGAGAGGCATCCCTAAGACAGTCTGGTGGTAAACTCTGCCATCATTCTGGCAACTCCTGCAGCCAAAAGGTTGCCAGTTGTGACGTCTTTACGTACCACTGGATCCCAACGGTGGAGGCTGAGAGATTGGGACCAGTGCAACGACCCTCCCACTTAAAAGCTCTCACGCACAGGTTGTTGTGCCAAAACTCACAAGTCCTGCGGCGATGGGCGAGGGACGAAGCGACAGGTAGCGGTTACTACTGGGAGTCGCAGTGTCAAACCTGCACGTAGGCGGTCTGTGGACCAGTGGTTGTTCTCTCTCCTCGAAGC